ACTCCAGGATCATGACCTGAGCCGAAGGCAGTTGCCCAACCAACTGAGCCACCCAGGTGCCCCAAGAAACTCTTAATCTCAGGAAACAAACTGAGGGTTGCTGGAGTGGTGGGGCATGGGAGAGATGGGGTAGCTGGGTGATGGACATTGGGGAGGGTATGTGCTATGGTGAGTGCTGTGAATTGTGTAAGACTGATGAATCACAGACCTGTATCCCTGAAACAAATAATACATTATATGTTAATAAAAAAAAAAGAGAGGTCAGGAGGTATTGATAAAAGCAAAGGTCAGAGACAACCATAAGAGGAACAAACCAACAGTGTTCTAAATAATCAAGCTTATTGTAGTAAAATTCAGAATTATTATGTTGCCTTTAAAGATGATGGCTAGTGGGGCTCCTGGGTGGCTCAGACGGTTAAGCAGCTGCCTTCGGCTCAGGTCATGATCTCAGGGTCCTGGGATCGAGCCCCACATCAAGCCTGCTTCTCCCTTTCCCTGCCGCTCCCCCTGCTTGTACTCTCTCTCTGCCAAATTAGATAGATAGATAGATAAAGAAAGAAAAAAAGAAAAAAAGAAAGAAAGATAGATAGATGATGGCTAGTGGAGGGGCAGCCTGGGTGGCTCAGTCGTTAAGCATCTGCCTTCGGCTCAGGTCACGTTCCTAGGGTCCTGGAATCGAGCCCTGCACTGGGCTCCCTGCTCAGCAGGCAGCCTGCTTCTCCCTCTCCCACTTCCCCCTGCTTGTGTTCCCTCTCTAGCTGTCTCTCTGTCAAATAAATAAAATCTTAAAAAAAAAAAAAAAAGATGATGGCTAGTGGAGATGTTTTACAAGCATCTTAATTGTGACTAAAAACATTTACATGCAACTGGAGAACTGAGCTTGGAAAAGAAAAATGGATGATGAAAGATTAATGTAATGGCAAATTCTAATAAGCAAATTAACTTCTAAGCTGATGTGCTGTGGTTTCTGACCACCTCACCCAAAAGAGTGTATTTTTCATACACAAAAATAACACTATATTTTATAGTCTGTGAAAACTCAAATATGACATATAATAGTCTCAAACATAACACATCTAAAACAAAAATCTTGATTTTTTTTTTCCTATTTAGACCTACTTCTCCAATCTTCCCTATCTCAGTTTATAGTACTACTATTAAGGTTAAGCAATAGGGTACTCCTTGTTTCTCTTTTCTATCTCATTATATTTAATTCAAAAGTAAATCCTACTGGCTCTACCTTCAAAATATATCCTCAGTCAACAAATAATTACATTGGCTCCTCTTCATTCAGGAACCAACAAATGTTTCTTCGTAACACTACTTTACTATTTGTTTATTGACTGTTCCTCCTAGGTAGAATATAAGCTCCATGAGAGGAATGATTTTGTTTTCTTACCACTCTTTCCCTGGCATCAAGAACACAGAGGCACTGTGGAATGAACATTGTCAATGCAAACTGAGATAGAAGAGGCAAGCCCATTTCCCCCACATCCACTACCCATTCTTTTTTTCTAAGGGGAAAAAAAGTCTTTGAACATGTAATTTAAATAAATGATCTTCAACCATGAAGCAAATAATCCTACAAGAAGACATCATAAAAGATTGATTCCTTACTCCTAACACAGTACTTCTAAATGGGAAAACCTGGTTTTCAACAATGAAGCAATTAGAAGTCAATGCAAATACATAGCTATTTTCATGGCAAATGAAAGATTTACCAATAACTAAGTCAATAGTTCCTTTGGAAGAAATCAATTCAGCACTATCAGCTGAAACTTAAAAAAAAAAAAAAAGACACCAAAACTTTCAAACAACAGTGAATTTTGTACAACACAAGGAAAACTACTACCTGTATTTTTAATAAGAGTATCTAGCTGGGATTGAGAATTTAACAATCTAATAAGAAGCGTATGATTAGGAAAAAAAACTCCACTTTAATAGCCTATATTATATGCTAATTTATGTAGCATTGTGTGAATTTGGGCAAGTCCTTTATAATGAAACACAATTTTAAAAAATTAACAACAACAAAAAAACCAAATCAACCAGTCCCAAGTCATGAGAAGTTTTAGTCAAAAAAAGATGGGGCATGAGGTTGGCAAATGATTTAAGTCAGAAGTTTAAAGTCAGTTAAAAAACTTGAAAAAGTTGGTTTAATTGTTAATGTGTTAGGAACTGCTACTTGTACAGGAGGAAGTTATGATATCCAGTATGCAGTAATACATAATATCTTTGCCTAGTTATGTGAAGCACAGTATTCTCAATATGACAGATCTGATCTGATAAAACTTCCTGAATATTCAAATTCAAATGACAAGAGATTTTATTCTAAGAATGCAATTTCCAATTTTATAAATGTGATTCAGTGACAAAAATAGCATTTCATTAAAAAAAATCAACTCTGGGGGTGCCTGGGTGGCTCAGTCCCAATTAAGCATCTGCCTTCAGCTCAGGTCATGATCCCGATCCTGGGATCGAGGCCCACATCAGGCTCTCTGCTCAGCGGGGAGTCTGCTTCTCCCTCTGCCCTTCCTTGTGCTCTCTCTCAAATAAATAAATAAATAAAATCTTAAAAAAAATTAACTGAAGTAATTCTTGATTAAGAGTTTCAATGCCTTGAAGGGAGGTAGGTGGGGGGATGGGTTAAATCGGTGATGAGGTAAGGAGTAGTACACTTGCTGTGATGAACACTTGGTAATGTATGGCATTACTGAATCACTATATTATACCCTGGAAAACTAATATTGCACTGTATGTTAACTAACTGGAATTTAAATAAAACCTTAAAAAAAAAAGTCTCAATGCCTTTAAACAGGAATGTCCAGAAACAGAACTCTAAAACATATAATTTTCTTCAGGTCCCTCAGAGATTCATGTCCATCCCAAACATGCCAACTACACTCACCCCATCCCAACATCCCCAAAAGTTTCAACCACTCCATCATCAACTCAAGTCCAAAATGTCATTATCTAAGTTATTCAAGCAGACTCTGGGTATGATAAATCATGGGGCAAAATTCCTTTCCACCTGTATAACTAGAAAACAACTTACCACTTCTAAAATACAGTGGTGGGACAGGCACAGGATAAGTTATGATGCAGTTTCCCATTCCAAAGGGGAGAAAATGGTAGAAAGAAAGGAGTCACTGGTACCAAACAATTTCAAAATCCAGAAGGTCAAATTCCATTAGTTTTCAAGACCTGGGAATACCCTGGCCTGTGGCTCTACCTTCTGGGCCATTATTCCTTTTTCTTGAAGGGAAGCACACGTTTGAAGCTGAGCAGTGCTATCAGCCTGTTTCCTACCTATAGAATTTTGGAAGTTCATTAGCCTTTCCTCAACCTGTCAGTCCAAACTAGCAGTGTTTCTGCTGATATAACATTCTCAAAACCGTTCTAGGTCACCTGTGTCTGCCTTGAGGGTTCACACCATTAGATAAGATGGTCCTACAAAGGACTTGATCTCTATTCAATCTCTATTCCTGGTTTTTGCTGAGATTACTGAGGAGATCCATGAGTCACGTGTATAATCTCTTCAGAAAGAACAAAAGGTTATCTAGCCATGCTCTTGGCTTTCTCTCCAAACCACTTTCCTGACAATGAATCTCCTAACTTCAGTGTCTTCTGCAACCTGGATAGACTGAGAATCTCCCAAATCATCAAGTCCTGGATCTTTTTTGCTTTACAGTTCTTCCCACAATCTCACCCATTCCTCTCACATTTACTATGAGCCACAAGAAACCAGGCCACAACTTCAATACTTCAGAAATCTCCTCAGCTAAATATCCAACTTCACTGCTTACATGTTCTCCTTTCTATATAAATGTAGGACACAGTTCAGCTAGGCTTTCTGGCACTATATAACAAATATCTCCTTTCCTTCATTTTCTAATAATATGTTCATTTCCCTCTGACTCCTTCAACATTCCTATTTCTACCAACATACTGTTTATGATGGTACATTATTCTCTAAAATGATACAGTTTTCTCTCCCATGCTCCTAACTTTATTCTGAGCCCTCACCAGCAGTGCCTTTAAAGTCTGTATTTCTACCAACCATCTATTCAAGGTAGTCTATGCTCTTTCTATCGTGTGCCTCAAAATTCTTCTAGTTTCTACCCATTACCCATTTCCAAAGACATTTCTACAGTTTTAGTTATTTGTTACAGTAGCACCCCACTTCCTGATATGAAAATCCGTATTAGTTTCTATGGCTGCTGTAACAAACTACCACAAACTTGGAGGCTTAAAACAATACTTATTCTATCACAGCCTAGAGGCAAAGTCTAAAATCACTATCACTGAGCTAAAATCAAAGTGTCAACAGGGCCACATTCCCTCCAGAGACTCCAGTGGAGTCTGTTTCTTGCTTCTTCTAAGTACACTTGCTGTGATGGTGGCTACCAGCATTCCTTGGCTTGTGGTCACATCACTCTGCCTCTGCTTCTTGAGGGGCCATAATTCAGCCTGCCCCAGATGCATACTCTTTAATGCCTCTCTTTGCCTTCACCCTCTTTTGGTTCATTTGTTTCAAAGAGTTTTATGTCATCAGCTTAATTGTCCATGTTCTTAAGGAAATATATTAGCAAAATCTGTGGGATCAGAAATGCAGCAAGAGAAATTTAAATAGGCAAATTCTATGTGAAGAAAAAGTAGAAAATTTAGCTATTGCCCTCCGTCTTATTTAATTTCTGGGAAATGAAGTAATTTTCATGTCCATAATAAAAAAACAGAAGTTGGTAAACAAAATACAACTCCGATCGTAAAAGTAAAGGGTTTTTAGAGAAGGTCCACTCAGGAAATAGATCAGGCCAAGGATCATGATCAAAGGTTACCTGCAGTGACAGGCAGGCAATCACCTCCATAACTAAAGACAATACATGGTTTTAAAGCCACTATATAACAGTTTCTCTCCTCCCTCAAGCCTTTAAATTTTAAAACCTGTTTTATAGTCAAATGGAAAGTAGAGTTAAAGATAAATTTATTATTGTTCTTACCTCTACACAGTCAAAATTCTCATCAACTTTAGATGCATATTCAACACGGAACATTGTTGACAAGCTACCAGCAATATAGTATAACAGGATCTTCAAACCCTTGTAACCAAAAGCAGTTTCACTGAAAAGGAAAAAATATCAGTAATCTGAGACCCCAGAAAGATTCTTTGTAAAGTCATTACAAAGTATTAGCCCTACATATAAACAAGCTTAACTTTATGGGTAGTTTCAAGATTTTAAACCATACCTATTTTAAAAAGAAACAAACACTTGTAACGAAACTGTGCCTCAGCTTTCCTCATTTATAAAATAAGAGAGGCGTGCCTGGCTGGCTCAGCTGGCAGAGCATGTGACTCTTGATCTCAGGGTTGTGAGTTAGAGCCCCACCTTGAGTGGAGAGATTACATAAAAATAAAATCTTTAAAAAATAAAAAATAAAGTAAGAATAATAGCATCTACCTCAGGGACGTTGTTTGGGTTACATGAGCAAGTTAATACCTATAAACTGCTTATAATGTTGACCAGCACATTATACAAGTATGTAATAAATGTAATATATCATTGCAGCTGCTTCTATTACTAGTACCAGAAGGCATTTCAAATCAGACACGAGTGGTATTTAAACTAGTACCTCGCTAGGCAAGCAGCTAAGATGTAGCTTTGGCCCAGTCTTTCCTCCAGTTTACAACTTGCTTCCATCATCAACATCCAGAGCTGCTGAAAGTGGTGAAAGCATCTAATTACATCACCCTCTGAACTCAGAAAGCAGATCTGGAGCTGCTGTTATTTTTCCAGCCCTGCTTCCTGCAATCTCCCTACACCTTGATATTCTCTTCTCTGGCTTAAAAAGAGTCTTCTAAAATGTGAATCTAAAATATCCAGAATAGGTAAAGCTATAGAGACAGAAGGTAGTTTAGTGATTGCTAGGGCTGGGGAGATTAAGGGAGGAAAAAGAGAATGACTTCTAACTGGTTATGGGAATTTTGGTGGGAATGACAAGATGTTCTGAAATTGACTGTAATGACTGCACAACACAATATACTAAAAATCATTGAACTGTATACTTTAAATAGATGAATTATATGGCAAATTACATCTCACATCTCAATAAAGCTTCTTTTTTTTTTTTTTTTAAGTGAATTCTGAAGAGGAGTGCCTGAAAGGAGTAGTGTCATTTACAGATTTCTGTCTAGGCATAAAATAAAACATAAGCAGTGTCCATTCCAGGACTCTGAAAGTTATGTGCATAAAAAGGAATGGCAATGATAAGTAGGATTAAGACCAATGTCATACCTGAGTCATAAAATACAGGGTTATGATTATGTGACTGTCATCTGTCCACCTTAGGAGTATGCAAGCATTTTTAATGACATACGAAACAGAATGAATGTACAAAATACCACTGAGAAGCATTATCTGTAGACCAGAGTCTATGCGCCTAAGGAAGAGATTTTAAATAGCAAGAAGGGGAAAGGAATAAAATAAATAGCTCCTTAACGATAGAAATCCCAAAAGAAAATGTTCTTATCTTTATAATAAAATAAAACCTATTTAAAATACAAAAGGTTCAAATTTGGCATGAATCAATATGTAATAAAATATAATTATTAATATTTAAAAGCACATAAAATGCCCAATCTGATACATTAATAATGAAAAATTCTGAGGAAATTTGTCCCATGGAGAGACATTTGTCAACTTCAAAACACATTCAATAAATATGTGAACAATGCTGAAACAACACGTAGGTAAAATCGCCACAAAGGGCAGCATTTTAAATGTCAACTGTGTCAAAACACTCTTTCCTACTACAACAAAGCAGGGTTCCTTGGGAAAATGGCTAACTCCAGAACTAGTAGAAAAAGTGTAAGATGAATGAACACCTTATTGTATTCAAAAGTAAAGTGTCCCCCAAATAATGATGATATATCAAAAGGATTCAAAAACTGGTTTGAAATGGGATAATTTGAGCATCATAATTAATAACAGTAGCAGATTATGACCCCTTGGATTAAAAAAGATTCTGAGTCTATTCTGATATAAACAAAGAAATACATAAGGGGAAAAAGAGATGCTCTTCCTTATAGAATGCCAACTAATAAATGTAGAAGGTATGACAGAGTTAGAAAAATCACCATTTTACAATCACAGTAAAAGCTTCAAGCAAGAATCATCAGTGGATTTAAAACTACTGGATGAAAGTCTGATGGGAAACAGGATCTTTTCAGTCTCAAGAGTATCTCCCCACAGATTACGTAATAAAGGCGAAAACCTTATAGTGGAGAAAGCTGACAGACACCTCTAAACTAAGTGACCCAAGTTAACAAACAATGGGACAAACTGACATTATGGACTTTCTGATTATGACAGACTGAGATGGACACACACAACCTCTGTGGTAATATAAAAATGTATATTATCGGGGTGTCTGGGTGGCTCAGTCGTTAAGCGTCTGCTTTCAGCTCAGGTAATGATCCAGGGTCCTGGGATCAAGCCCCACATCGGGCTCCCTGCTCAGCGGGAAGCCTGCTTCTCCCTCTCCCACTCCCCCTGCTTACGTTCCCTCTCTCGCGGTCTCTGTCAAATAAATAAATAAAAATCTTAAAAAAAAAAAAGTACATTATCTGAATTTAATCATGAAGAAACAAACTAATGCAAAATGAAGGTTTATAAAACTAACCTATACCCTACGAAAATGTCTATGTCATGAAAAACAAAGAAAGGCTGAGGAACTGTTTCAGATTAAAGGAGACCAAAGAGATATGACAACTAAATGCAATATGTGGGGTGCCTAGGTGGCTCAGTCAGTTAAGAGTCTGCCTTGGACTGAGGTCATGATCCCAGGGTCCTGGGATGGAGCCCCATATCGGGCTCTCTGCTCAGCAGGGAGACTGCTTCTCCCTCTCCCTGCTGCTCCCCCTGCTTATACTCTCTCTCTGTGTCAAATAAATAAATAAAATCTTAAAAAAAAAGAAAAATTAAATAAATGCAATATATGACTCTAGATTGGATTCAGAATAAGGAAAATTGTTATGAAAGAATTATTGGAAACCAAGTGGAAAAATTTGAAATGTGGACTGTATCTTAGAAAATAGTACTACAGCAGTGTTAAATTTCCTCAATTTTGATAATTATAGGGTTACTGTCCTTGTTTTTAGGAAATACATACTAAAGAATTTAGGAGTAAGGGATCAAGATATATCTGCAAACAACTCTCAAATGGTTCAACAACATACCAATATATCTATCTATATAGGAGAGAATGATTAAGGTAAATAGAACTAAATGCTAACAAGTGGTGAATCTAAATAAAGGATATACAGAGTACTATTCTTTTTCTCCTTTGAATCAATTAACATACAGTGTACTATTAGTTTCAGAGGTAGAGTTTTAATGATTCATCAGCTGCATATACACCCAGTGCTTACATCAAGTGCCCATACTATTCTTATAACTTTCTGCAAATAAGTTTCACAATCAAAAGTTTAAAAAAATGGTAAATGACTATTCTAATAATGTAATGAAGCTACAGGAAATTAAGGGATTGTGCTGAATATCCCAGGACATATCTATAATGTTGCTTTTAAAAATGAATTTCTCGGGCGCCTGGGTGGCTCAGTCGTTAGGCGTCTGCCTTCGACTCAGGTCATGATCCCAGGGTCCTGGGATCGAGTCCCACATCGGGCTCCCTGCTCAGCGGGAAGCCTGCTTCTCCCTCTTCCACTCCACCTGCTTGTGTTCCTGCTCTCGCTGTCTCTCTCTGTCAAATAAATAAAATCTTTAAAAAAATAAAAATAAAAAAAAAAAATAAAAATGAATTTCTCGGGGTGCCTGGGCGGCTCAGTCGGTTCAGCATCTGCCTTAGGCTCAGGTCATGATTCCAGGGTTCTGGGATCAAGCCCTGCATCTGGCTCCCTGCTTCTCTCTCTGCCTCTGCCTGCAGCCCCCCTGCTTGTGTTCTCTCTGTCAAATAAATAAAGTTTTTAAAAATAAAAAATAAAAATAAATTTCTTTTAACGGCCTATTAGTTGTCATAGAAGAACAACTTAAGCTTTCTAGCTTCAGGAGAGTCTATTCTGTACTAAGAGCAGTATAGCAAAGGAGCAGGAAGAAAAAGTAGTAATTATGAAGATGAGCTTCATAGACAGATTGCCTGAATCTGAACTCTGGTCATTCACATGTCCTTAAGCAGCTATTCAATTCCACCAATGTACAATGTAATGGATGATAATACCATCGCTAAGATGGTTGTGAGAATTAAATGAGGTAATGTATCCACAGCACTACATGATAGGTATGATACAGTAAACTGGTGTTTCAATGTCAAAAATGCATTCTAATGTATATTTTAAAATAAATTACATAAACAACAGCAAAGAAAGTAAAGTCTGCTTTCTAGATCTTAAAAAAAAAATTTTTTTTTTTTTTTTTTTTTTGGCCACACTAATTTGGCAAAGTTACTTACTCATCCCCAAAGAGTTGATGGGTATATTCAGGAAAGAAAGTTCTAATGTCATTCTCAAGATCTTCAGGAAAACGAACTGTTTAAAAGAATAAAAAATATAGAGATATTAAAGACACTAAATTAAAGATATTAAAGGTGACAGGTATTTCCATTTCAAGAATTTCACTATAACTAGGATACAGCCAACATCTTTCTTACTTAAAATGTCACTTTTCCATTATATGATTTACACTGGATTCTCATGAGACAAGTGAACAATGAAAATTAGAATATCACTTTGAGTGCTTCAGTGTCAAAACCTCAGATTCTAAGAATTAGAAAACTAGGTATGACAAAGGCATCTGATTTAGTTTTTATTTTTCTTTATGTTTATATACAATGCAAAGAGTAAAAGAAAACAAAACCAAAAAAGACACTCTGAAATAAGAAAAGCTACAGCATCAAAAAAACTAAAAACGAATGCTACAGGAAACATTCTGAGAATAACAGTAATCTGAGTTTTGAGGAGGCCTTTATCATTACATCATTCTCTATCAGTGCAAGATGATATTCATGTTATTCCTAGGTTTGGGTTTTTGTTTTGCTATTAAAAATAAAAATAACACTGCAATGGCATCCTTATATACGCTTTACTGTACTCTTACATACATACCCCCTCTGCCTACCTGTGCTCTCTGTCAAATAAACAGATAAAAAATATCTTTAAAAAAATATTTTAACAGTTTATATACCCACTAGCAGCTACTTAAACTCCTTTGCTTCCCATATTCTTGAGAATATTCTGTACCCTCAACTTTAATTTCTACGAATTAAAGATGGAAATGGGTACCCTGTTATTTTATTTGCATTTATTGAGTTCTGATACTATTGGACATTTCCCCAATATAATTTATCTTATGCAGAAAAAAACCTTACCTCCCCCACCAAATTCTTTAAACTGAAGAATGAAAAGTTGTAGATGAAAAATTTCCAACACTGTCCTCCTAGAACAGGTTATTCACAGGGTGCCAAAGTATCATAGAGCAGATTAATGATTTACAGAAGAAAAGGTATCTTTTCACTGTAGAGATCTGGCAGTTACCACTTGTCCAAGTAATCTAACTTAAAATCACTCATTACAGGATAGACCAACATTGTATGTCTCCTGATTCAATGCAATTTAACATATACAGCCATCATTTATGAAACATTTTCTTAACAAAAATGTTTATCCTAGCTCTAATCCAGCTTTAAATCTTCCAATTTACAAGAAATATAGAGGACAGGGTAACAAGTTAAATACTACCAAAAGAAAACAGACAAATCCAGAATGTAGATTTGTTTATTAATTCTACTCAATAACTTTACTCTCCCAAATAAATCAATGGTATGGGGGAAAAAATTCCATGTTGGGGGGAAGGACTGTTCTTTTTTTTTTTAAATTCTTTTATTTTTTTCTTTTTAATTTTATTGTTATGTTAGTCACCATACATTACATCATTAGTTTTTGATGTAGTGTTCCATGATTCATTGTTTGTGTATAACACCCAGTGCTCCATTCAGTACGTGCCCTCTTTAATACCCATCACCAGGCTCACCCATCCCTCCACACCCCCTCCCCTCTAGAACCCTCAGTTTGTTTCTCAGAGTCCATAGTCTCTCATGGTTTGTCTTCCCCTCCAATTCTCCCCCTTTATTTTTCCCTTCCTACTATTTTCTTTTCTTTTTTTTTTAACATAATGTATTATTTGTTTCAGAGGTACAAGTATGATTCATCAGTCTTACACAATTCACAGCGCTCACCATAGCACATACCCTCCCCAATGCCCATCACCCAGCCACCCCATCCCTCCCACCCCCCCACCACTCCAGCAACCCTATTTGTTTCCTGATATTAAGAATGGAAGGACTGGTTCTGAATTAAAAGAGATTAAAGAAACATTACAGCCAAACATGATGCATGATCCTTGACTGAATTCTGGGTTAAATAACTCTTATTAAAAAGCTACCGAATTCTTTCAAGGACAACCAGGGAAACCAGAAAATTATACGATATTAAAGAATTACCATTAATTTTCATAGGTATGATAATGGAATTATGGTTATATATGAATATTCACATATTAGGACTGTCATGATGTTCAGAAATCTACTTTTCAGGTGCCTGCGTGGTGCCATCAATTAAGCATCCAACTCTTGGTTTCAGTTTGGGTTGTGATCTTGGGGTCATGAGATTGAGCCCTGAGTCGGGCTCCGAGTCTGGTGCAGAGTCTACTTGGGACTTCCTCTCCCTCCTCCCCGTTTGAGCATGCACACACGCGTGCTCTCTCTCTCTCTAATAAATAAATCTTTTTAAAAAATCTACTTTCAAATAATTCGGCAAAAGTATATATTAAAGCAAATTTGACAAAATATTAATTGTTGAATTCAGGTACTGGATATATAGGTTAAGTATTGTTCTATTTTCTCAACTCTTCTGTGTTAACAAATTTTCATAATGAAAACTGAAATTGAAAAAAGCCCTGGGCAAATACAGCAAAATGTTAAGACATGAAAAGCTAAGTGATGAGATAATGATATTCATTAGCTTGCTCTATGTTTTTTGTATGTAATACTACACAATAAAAAAATAAAACAATCCAATATGTCTAGACTCATTAACCTCCAAAATTTCCCACTACTGCATCTCTAATATTTAAAAATATTTGGAAGTCTCTAGAAATTATTAAAAATAAATTTCAGGGGTGCCTGGGTGGCTCAGTTGTTAAGCATCTGCCTTCAGCTCAGGTCATGATCCCAGGGTCCTGGGATCGAGACCCACACTGGGCTCCCTGCTTGGAGGGAAGCCTGCTTCTCCCTCTCCCACTCCCCTTGCTTGTGTTCCCTCTCTCGCTGTCTCTGTCAAATAAATAAATAAAATCTTTAAAAAAAATTAATTTCAGGGCGCCTGGGTGGCTCAGTTGGTTAAGTGACTGCCTTCGGCTCAGGTCATGATCCTGGAGTCCCGGGATCGAGTCCCACATCGGGCTCCTTGCTCAGCAGGGAGTCTGCTTCTCCCTGTGACCCTCTTCCCTCTCATGCTCTCTATCTCTCATTCTCTCTCTCTCAAATAAATAAAATCTTAAAAAAAATTAATTTCAAACTACTGCTTCTAATATAATATATAGCACTTTGGTAGTGATGAGAGACACAAGAGAAAAATGTAACAAGTGTCAAAAATGTAGTTATGATAACTATTTCTATAATTTGGATTGGCCTTCTTCCAATATACCTGTCATCTAAACTATTAAGGTTTTACTATTTCAGCATGAAATTTAGTCCACAGGTAACAGTAACTAAAAGAAAGAGAAAGCAAAGTGATGAGTCTTTTAGTTGAAGAATCAAATAGCTTAAGGCAAATATATAGTTAAATATTTATTGTTTGGATTTGATTAGATTTGGGTGAGAGAATCTAAGAAAAATTCTTAAAAACCAACGCTATGTACTTTACAAAGGATTCTTTTAGTATCGAATAAATGAAGTTTTTATATTAGTCATTGTATTACATGAAAACTGTTTGCTGTACTACGTTTAGCCACACTGAGCAGATCCCTAAAAAGTTGCCCCCAAATTCCTCGGATTACACATTGAGAAGACATCCGGGGTTATACTTTATAGAGATCAGCCTAAAAGTTATCTCCTCAAAAAGGGTCTTTAAGATAAAAAGTCCTAGGCCTAGACAAAAGGAACCAACAATTAGTGCTAGGAGGTTAGTATTTCTAACAGATAAGAAACAAAGATGAATTTTCTACTCTTAGTAAAAACAAACAAACAAAAAACCCTTGGGGGCGCCTGGCTGGTTCAGTGGGGAGAACATATGACTTCTAATCTTGGGGTCATGAGTTCAAGCCCCACATCATTAGGTGTAGAGCTTACTTAAAAAAACAAAAACAAAAAAACCTCAATATTTACATAAGTGTAGTAATTACCATAAAAGAAATGAAACCACATCTCTGTATTTGTCTGTTCTGGACATTTCACATAAATGGAATCATACAATATGTGCCTTTTGTGTCTGGCTTTTTTCTTTTTTTTTTTTTTTTAAAGTAGGCTCCACACCCAGCATGGAGCCCAGTAGAGGGCTTGAACTCACGACCCTGAAATCAAGAGTCAAGACACTTAACCGGTCACCCAGGTACCCCATGTCTGGCTTCTTTCACTTAATAGGTTCATCCATGTGATAGCATGTACCATTAGTTCATTCCTTTTTGTGGTTGAATAATATTCTACTATATGGATATACCATAATTTGCTTATCCAGTCCTCGGTTAATGGACATTTAGGATGTTTCCATTTTGGGGTTATTATGAATAATGCTGCTATGAATGTTCCTGAACAAGTTTTTGTGTGAACAGTGTTGTATGCGAACACAGGACATATTCATAAGAAGGAGTCACACACAGTGTTATTAACCATATCATTAGTTTTCACTTGAACATTTACTGTGTACCAGGCAATTTGCTAAGGATTTTATAAACATTGTAGTTAAACCCCACAAGAACTATAGAAGGTAGGTATTATTACCTCCGTTTTCTAGATGAAAAATGCAAAAAAGACTAATTTGCTCACGGCCACAAAATAAGTAGTGGGCTTAAGGCTGAATCAATCAGACATATATACATGTAGATGAGAACATGTATAAAGTGTGAACTCTCCTGGATATCACAAACATTAAATATTTTTAAGTCTTTACAATGCAGTTATGTCAGTAAAGCAAGAGAGCAAGCAAGCAACCCCAAAATGATTAAATAAATTACATAAATGAAAGAGTTTCAATATAAATATTAAACATAATGCTATTGAGAAATATTTGGTGACAGAAAAATGTTTATGATGCATTTAGATGAACAGAACATGACAATGTAACCTCAATTTTATAAAAGAGAAATAACATAAGTGAATATATAATTTAAAAAACTAGAAGGAATTATCCCAAATTATAATACAGAAGTACTATAGTTATTCTGAGTGATAAAATTATGGGTAATTTTTATTTCTTATATTCTTATACACTTCCCAAAATTTCTGCAAAATATGTATTATTCCAACAGAGGAATA